TAGACAAGCCCTAGATGCTGCTGTTCTCCAGTCCAATCCTTCTTGTGCTACATCGAACAGAAAGTCCCTCAGTACGAAACTGACAATAAATCTTTTGAGTATTTCATTGGCCATTTAAGTATAAAACTGGTGTGGAAAGGGAGGGGAGGGAGTTCCTAAGTGCTAACACTGCATTTTCCCAAAGGCAATATTTTAGGATGATTATAATTTGTCATTGCCATACAGACTGATTTGAATGGCTTGGTTGTAGGAAGGGGGGTTGGCTTTGAAATCACTGATATACTGGGAAGAGTCTGGAATTAACACAGTAGGTGATTTTTAAAGCCAGCTTTGGGTTCGCCACTGACCATTTGTGTGCCTTGCAGCTCTGCACTATATGCCTCCAGTCCTTTATCCACCAGCACTAAAAGTCTCTAAGTATGTGGGGAAAATGGAAGTTCCTTTGGCCAGGATCCTCACCTAACCCTAAACTACTTGATGATGTAATTGGCCTGCTGCTAGGCTAATGTTACCACAGCCACTGGCAATGAGCTATTATTGACTGAGTCACATATAAAGAGCTCCGCCCGGTGCTCTGGGAAGAGGCAGAGAGGGAGGTGGATCACAGACCTGCAGATTGCTGGATGCAGATGTGGTCCTAGTGCTCGACCTACTGCTGTGATAATAAAGTCAGGTATAAACCCTTTTACTCCAAGAACATTTCCATTATCATTCCTTGGCCTCACTGAATCCATAGTGAACCAGCCCGGGGCTGAAACCCTCAGGTGAGACAATTGTATATTTTGGAAATACATAATTCAGAGAATCCTGTATTTAAGGATGGCTATGCCACAGAGTCAATCAGACTTTTTGAAACTACACATAATAAAAGATGAAAAGCTGACAGAAGATGGTTAACCTATAATATGACATCTTCCTTGCTCATATTAGGAACCTACTTTTGGACCATTATATCTCCCAATCACTTTGACTCATGTGAATGACTCATATGTTAAAAAAATGTAGCATATAATATATATATATTATGTATATATTTTTTAACCTGATCCTTATTTTTATATTTTTCTGGCATTATTCTCTGAGCATCTTTCATCATATTGCTGACATCACTAAAGGTTCAGGTCATATTAGTTGGTGTTTGGTTTGACGATGTACCCGGACTCTAGACTGCTTTCCTCCCTCCTAATGTCTAGCAGCCTTAGCAAACACCACTGTCCTGGGTGCTGACACAGAACAGCAGTTACCTTTGATTTTCATTGAGGTCACCCTGAGGCAGAATATTCTAAAACCTGGGTAAGGAATGGTAATCCCAGCTATTAAAAAAAAAAGACTCCAGTTTAAGTCTGGTTTTTCTTACAGTTTTCTTTCTTCAGAGAAGTCCCAAGGTATAACAGCTTTGGCCCAGCCCTACCAAATTCATTCCTAGTCTGTGAGTTTTGCCTATGTCTCTAGTAAACTTTAACCTCCTCAGGTTTCTTTCTCTGTATTTCCTGGAGAGTATGATTCTGGCTCTGAAGAAAGGTCATTTACAAGGAAGAGACAGTTCATATGCATGTAGTTGTTCATAGGCTGTCATCTCAGGTCAGCTGACTAGCTGGAAGAAATACCACAAATAGTTTTGAAAGGAGGATCTGAACTGGGTACTAAATTATCAAGTGTTGCAAACACTAGAGAGGAAAATCAAGAAAGACTATTGGCACTATGGAAAAGGTAAAAAAAATTCTAAATCATTCTCTTCGTAGACCTGACAAATGAGATTTTGCTAAAGAAAATATAAGTATATGAATTTGAGAACCATAACAAAGAACTGCTCAGCCAAAAGATGAGGAAAAATGGCTATAAAGCCATCAGGATTGAAAAACAAATGTGCTCATAAAAAAGCTTTCAATGCAAGAGACAGACAACAAGTTATTTTGGTTAATTACTCAGTGGGGACAGTGGTTTTTGTTTTATAGATGGGAACGTGAAACCTTTAGAGGGAAAGTGACTTGAATATCATCATGAAGAAACAGAACCCCACTGTACTGATTCTCAACTCCCTCTGCACCGAATCCAAATGACTTCCATCTTCTATGTTCTATTGTTCTCTAAACTCAACCCTCTAGGATGTGGAAACTTTGATGCTCTTGGAAACTGTTTCTATATTTGTCCAATGCCAACTTCTGTGCTTGGAGAAGTTTGAAGTTCAACCCAAAACACAGGGCTTGGCACAGTCAAAAGCTCATTACAACTTATTAGCTGTGGTTCTTGGGGGCAGCTATGGCATTCCTGTGTGACTCAGTATCACCAGTCATAACTGAGGGTTTCTGATTACTCTGAACTGAAACATAATGAAGGCTGCAACAAGCTCCAAGCAAATGAAGCAACACATTTTACAGGAAGAAAGTAAAAAAAATCACATGAAAATTCCTTGAAATGCCATCTTAGTATGTTAACCTAAGTATACTAGAGTATAATGCCTAACACTTATTCAGCATATATCATGTACTAGGCACTAGATTTGTGCTTGACATTCATTAATTCATTTATTTCTCTTAATAACCCATGAGGCAGATAGTATTATCTCTGTTTTAAATAGGAAACTAAGTCACATAGAAGTAACTTGTTATGCTGACTAGGAACACAAATAACTTTAGAACAATAAGAATATATTGACTGATACTCTGGATTATGATTTCAGGAACTATAAAAGGTTTCTCTAGATTAAAAATAATCTCATTAATCCAAATAAAATATGTAGTTTAATTCACAGTAACAGACCAATGGGAGTTTCTTATTATGGTATATTCTTGGTACAAATGAATCATGGCAATCAAACATGTTAACGATGGGGAAAACTGGGTGTGTTTATGTGTACTACCTTTACAAGTTTTCTGTAAATCTAAAATTATTCTAAAATAAAAAGGCTTAAAAAAAATTTGACCTCGATACTTCATGGAGGGAACTTTTCATTGAGTTAGTGCCCATCAAAACAATTCTATTTTTTTCCCTAATATTCTGAAGAATATGGAAAACAGTGGGGCCCTCCCAACACTGTACATTTTATATGTAAGTGAGAGAATGTGAAGGTCTCCATTAGTGGTAACTTATATAGCTGCAGAGACTTGTGCTAGAGTTTTAAGGGCAAATTGGAAACTATTTCCTGGAACAATGCCTCACAGCATGCCTTTTGATACTTGGATTATATTTCTTGAATTCTGAATAAATCTTGCTTTCCCCCACCCCTTCTGTGCATTTTTGGTGCTGAGCTGTTTCCGGTTTTCCCACACTCCTGCCTGTCAGAGAGAAGAAACCACAAAAATGCAGCAAAGCAAAGTTTGCCCATAATGCCACAATTTCATCTCAGAAGGCTGAAGAGTTCTGCCAGCAGTGAGTTCAGAGCAGTGAGTGGTGTTTTCAAATGCCCAGCCCTGCTGCCTGCTGACAGAGCCCACCTCTTTGCCAGAAGACCAGCTAGTCACACAGGCCACCACAGGCCATCTCAAGGCATTGGCAATGGTCCACAAAGAAGGAGCAAAATGGAAAAATTCAACACTCACATCCGACTCACTGATTTCCTACAAAACCATGGGTTCTTGACGTTGTGAAGTAGGATGCTCATCATGGTGACTAAGGCTTACTGAGTTCTTACATGTCATGGTAGGTCTTGTTCTATGTACTTTATATGTATTAATTCAGCTAATATTCATAAACTGTCCTATGAAGTTATACTCTTTACAACGCATCACAAACAAGGAAACTAAGGCCAAGAGATTAAGTAACTTGTAATTTGCCAAGGGTCTCAAGTGAGTAAAGTGTGGAATAGACAATCTGGCTCCAGAGATTGCACCCTTAAAGATTCAACTCTACTCATTCCAGGGTGAGGGGTCATAGAGCTTCTTTCTTATTGTGCTATTGGCCTTCAACTAATAGCTTTCTACTGCCCTTCCCTACTGCTCCAGAGCATTCTATAAGGTTATTACAATGTCAATTATTCCTAGAACAGTGGTTAGCAGGCACTGAATAAATATTTGTTGAATAAATGAATAATGGTAGCAATATAATTAAAACAGTCACAAGGGATTGTTTTCAACCCAAATCCAGAATTTGATTCACCATCTAAGGGGGAAAAATAGTAACTGCTTTTTCTATGTCCAAGGATTCTTTCTTACAGCTAAAATTGATTTTGTGAAGGACAAATGAATGAGGAGCCTTAATGAAAGCAAGAGAAATACACAAATCTCCTCTAGGTGTTTATCCAGCAGGGAATGTCTGCCTCTTCCAGGCATCTTCGAAAAGTACCCCAATTTTAAACGGAGAAGGGCTGCTAGAAACAACACTTTAACAATCTATTTCTGGCTCACGAGCTAAAAAAATGGCTGGAGTGAAAGATGGGACCTAAAAAATTTGATTCAGGCAAGGAAATGTCTTTTTGAGGTAAAAAGGTAGACAAAAGATATTAGAAATATTGCTGCTACACAGAGCCTGCTGACTAAAGTCACCTAAGTTAATCGCATGATGAAATTTCACTCCTATGTCTTCCTGTTCAAAAGCCTCAAAGTAAACAAGGTGTGTGTGTAAATTTATAGGAAATGGAAAAGATCTGACTCTGTAGAAAGACCAAGAGAAGACTACATCTAGGAGGAAGTTTCTCCAGGCCTGAGGTCCAGCACTGCTGCCTGCGCACTGTCTGACTGTAGCTCTTGCCGGAGGCTGTAAGAGTCACTCAGCAGTGCCCTGAACCCTGCCAGCGGTAGCTCTTGTCACAGTCCCTGGAGAACCTAAAAGGGCAGTATCTGCCCCTCCCAAAGGGTACAGCCCAAACACTGGCATGTTTCAGTAGCTTCCCAGTGATGTGAATTTGTCGCCAGGGCTGAGTCCCAGAGTTAGCCTTTATTCCCCGTCAGGTGGTGGTATTTACAGCACTCAGTACAAATCATCTCAAAGCCTCCATAAATAAAGAGTACTATTAGCACAGAGTTGATGTAATTCAGAAGAACAGAAGACTGTTGAAAACTTACTTGGAAGCCCTCTGGGATGCTGCATTTCTGAGGACTTGTTTGTGATTGGATGGGGGTTTGGGGACGAGGGAGGAGGAAGAACTCGGAGGTGGCACCACTTTTTGTGGTAGAGTGCTTGGCTTCTGGCCACTAGCTGTGGCACTTGTAGGTTTGCAAGCTGCACCATTATTCATTGTCCATAAACTGGAGTTAGGTAGTGTCTGGCTGCCAAGAATTGCCTGCCAGAAAAAGAAAAAAAAGAAAAAAAATCAATGGAGATGCCCTTCACGACCCATTTGCTGCAAGTGTGGTTTGCAATCCTGAAGTGGGGCAAAGGGAAACTGTTAAAGTAATTTTTAATGAAAAAATTCTCCAATAATGTCAGTTCACGTCTAGATTCTGAGAAGGGAGATTTCTTGAAGCAGAGAGTTGAGATGGTCTTGTTCAAAGTACACTGGCCTAGGAATCAGGGCATCTTGCTGCTATGTGCCACTTCATACACCTGAATTAGAAAAGCACTGGTCTCTGGTCTTACGTTTCCTTCATCATTAAATTCAACAAATATTTAATGAATGTCTCAGTTTACTGGGTGTCAAGTACTAGAAATATAGGGCAGAACAAAAGTGACTTGAGGCTTGACTCAATTCCAGCCTACTCACAGAGCTCAGAACTCCTCTTAGGTTTGCACATTTGAGAAAAGGGAAAAAGCCAGTGTGGCCAGGGCACAGGAGCAAAGGGAGAGTAGAGAGAGGGGACTAGGATGCAGGGCCTCGCGGGCGGCTTGGGGAACTCTGGTGTGGTAACAACTGGCTGACCTAAAAATTTACACAAGACTTTATGTCTGAAAACACTTTCAAGGTAAAATTATCACATGAATACTAGTTACCATATGAATGAATACAACATCAATACAAGGGAAGTTTTGCATGGAGGGTAAGCTCACAAATAATAACCTAAAAATTGTCATCTAAACATCACAAAAACTAACATATATCTATATTAGGATGTAAAATACAATTTCCTCAAGTAGATGCTTAAAAAATTCTTACAACTCATTTACCTCATTAAAAGTATTTTTCTGTGTAACAAACTTTGTTATTGATCCTTCAATACTATTACCACTGCTTTTAATATGTATGCATTTAAAAAGCTTTAAATGTGAAATGCATTAAGACAAAAATAACATAATTGACAAAAGACATAGGTCTTTCTATTAAAAGGATTTCTGATGACTGATTTCTATCTATAGACACTGCATTAAAATGGACATAGGAGAAAGAGCATTTCCTCATGGCAAGATCTAAAGGAGTATGATCAGATGCTCTTAGGAAACATTCACCTTCCAGACAGACTTCACTAGTTTTATTTTTGTCCTTTATGAATTTTATTTTTTAAGATATGAAAGGCAAACTGGGTAGATTTAGTAAAATGTTACCAGCCCTTCTATACTCGTGCCCTGGAATGTCACATTTCAGGGAAATGTATCCAGAGGTCTTAGGCTAGGCAGATAAATGGGTGGGGACTCAGGCATCCTGTGAATTAAATACATGTGTGACTGAGAGGCCTGGCAAAGAAAAAATGGACTTCAGAGGTAGCAGATCAGAACATTTTCAAATGGACTAATCCAACTGAGAGGTCCTCATCTTCGCAAACCACCCAAGGCGGAAACAAAAGCTGTTCACTTGTCTCCATCTCTGACCTAAAGAAGGAGAACAAAGGAAGACCCAAGCTCGCGGGCAAAGCCAGGAGGGTGGCACTGTGGAGTGTGTACATGCGGGGAGGGCTTCAGATGGTCTGAGAGACTCCAGGAGCCCCAAATCAGCCTCAGCAAGCCTTCTGAGGACAGGTAACCAGAGGGGACAGCAAGAAGCCAGGCTTGTGGAACTGGCTCAAAAACAAACTCATTCCTTTCAAGCACTATTTCCATATCTGAGGGTCTCTAAATCCATGGGAGAGACTCAACTGGCAGTAAGGAGGGAGGCAGGGAAGAGCCACCCTAGGCTTCTATGTTCACCACTGCATCCCAACAAGTGAGCTTAGACTGAAGAGTGCCTGGAAGGTGCCTCACTCAGAGTGGGATGCAGACAAAAAATCACACTGAGGGCTCAAGAGTTCTACATTGGCCATCCAGAAACAGGCTCACTGGATGAGTAGTAGAGGAGGAAAAACCATTGTCAGTAATGAGCTCCTGGAAATAAAAAACATTCTTTACTGGGTTAGATTTTTCATGCTGTGAAGAAACTGCCATCAGAAAGAACATCTATTCAATACATGTTGCTGTGGTGACTACCATATTTTCAAAGTCACTGAGGTCTTTTTGGTTGTTAAATCTTCCTGGGACATCTAAATACAAAGATGAATAAAAAGAGCAAGATCAGAACAGTGAGTTTAGTAAGCTCTTATTTGTGTAAAAAAAGAAAACACGCACACACATATATACACCAACATGCATGTGCATGCACACATACACACACACACAAACATACATGCAATATTGGTATCTGCACAGAGCAATTCTGAAGGAGATACAAAAAGCTGGTACCCTCCATAGTGAAGAATTGGTTAGCTAGGGGTCAGGGGAGAAGGGAACTAATTTTTTACTGTTTATTTGTATCTTTTTTAATTTTTATCATCTATATATAGTTATTTATTATGAAAATAGAATATTAAAAAGTCAAAAGAAAGCCAAGTTCTAATAAGATTTAAGCAGGTAACAAACTGACTCTGATTAACAAGTCCAAGTATCCAATGAGGGCCAAGTCCCAATCAGCTGGTTAAAGGACTCCCCATCAGAGAAGGTTGAATTGGCTGTTACAACACTTACTATGGCTAGAAAACCAAATTAGGTTATTAAGGAAAAGGCAGAGACTCAGGTTAAGTGGAAGAGAGCATGGTTTGCAGTCAAATGTGTCTGGGCTCAAATGTAGGCTCTGTCACTTATAAACTGGGTGACCTTTTCAAGTCACTTAACCAATCTGACCTGTAGCTTCCTCAGAAGCAATTATAACCACTTTGCTGGATTACTGGGGATTAAATGAAGATCACACATGTAAATCTAGCCCAGGCATTCAATAAAGGTTTCCTGAAATAAATCAAAGGACCAGGCACACAGTAGACATTCAACAAATTTGCTCCATTCCTTCCCAAACCTCTACCTCAGTTTATTGAGGAACCAAGGGATGGGATGACATGCCTATCAGTAATGATTTGTGAATGGCAGCTGGTTATGCGTTTTTCAACATTTTTCTAGTATTATGATAATGCTCACTAGCTGCAAAAGCAAACTCTTAAAATGAAAACATATGTTATGTTCCCCAGATCATATTTACTCAATTCTCTTTGGCAAAAAGAATCTTTTCCTCTTCTGAATGCTTATAAAAATTTATTTGTATGCGTCTTATCACATTTAGTACATTCTACCTTGTATTATAGCCACTTCTGTATTTTTTCCCCATTCTGGACAGTACAGACTGGAAATGGCTGTATTTACATCTGATAAATTTAGATTTCACTCACAGTGCCAGGTAGAATGCCTTGTGCAGAAAACATGCTTAATAAACATTTACTCCATGAATGGAAAAACAAAACTCACATACCAAGTCACTTTTTTTTTTTTTAGCAACAACTAAATTCCTCTACAAGAAATAGGTAAGTTTGTGTTGACATAGATATACAATCTTGTAATAGGACCAATTCTCTGTCCTTTGAATAATGCCTGGTGTGTTATTCGTGTTCAACTCATTCTCAGCCTCCAAATATAAGCAAGGGCTCTGGAGATCCCAAACAAAACAAAATTCATCTTCCTAAATGCAGATTTTGTGGCAGGAACTTAGACACTGATGTTCCATGGTAATAAGATCAATGTTTATCTCAAACAAAATAAATTAAATTAAAAGAATTTATTGTTTAGGACACTGTAATTTGCCTGGTTATTAAGACTTCTCCCTGTCTTCCTAATACAACTACACTGATTTTGTTGGGGTAATATGTAATTTGGGAGAGCCTACCTTTAGATTTCTGATTATATGGGGGAAATAAAATCTCCAACTTGTTAAAGCAATGGGGGAGGGGGATTCTGTTACATGCAGCCAAATGGAATCCTAAATGAGCTGAGCTATAATTCTCAATCTACCAGTAAAGCTCATTTAAGCCTCCACATATTATAAATGTATTTACATCTCAAAAGAGCAGACACTCTTTCCAAATACAGTAAAAAGCTTCCAGATTCTCATTTGTTGTTTGGTTATCATACTCTAATGGGTAATGGGTATCACACCCAATGGGTAATGAAATGATTACAGTTCTATACCATTCAAAATCCCAGAGTCAGTAATGCACATAGGTGCTTCACCAAAGTCAAGGCTAGAAGGAATGAGATTAAAGCAATCATATCTGATAAAAAGAAACCCGGGAAAATACTCAGGCAATGTAAAAGCAGACATATAATGGATTTGTTTAGACTATTGGCAGAAATCAACTCCCCTGGGCCCTCACAGCCTATACTGGCCTCAATCCTACAATTCTACCACTGATAGAGTATGTGAACTCTTTTTGTCCTGATATTCATTCATAAATGGACAGAAGAATTACATAGGTTCTCTCTATATCACTTCTGAGAAATGTGAGGTTTGGCTATACAATATTATAGTGCTCAGCTCTGGTGGGTTACCAACTCAGGGATGACAGCTGCACCCCCATCAGTCAATGTCCTGGGAATGTGGGAGCTGGGTAAGCACTAGCCTCCAGCCAAGACCTGGTCAACAAATACAAGACTTTTGCTTCTTTATTGGGTGTGGGAAACAGCCATACTTCAGCACGGAGGCTCAGAGAAAACCACAGCTGAGGGTTGGTTTGGTCCCAGGCCAGTGACTGGGAAGGCCCTCCTTCTCCCACAACAGAAGGGTACTCGCGGGTGGGAAGGAGGAATTCCTGATATATAGAACACAGACTTCAACTTGGAAGGTTACAGGGAAGCAAAATCTGGGCTCTCTCACTAGAAGGATAATACCGCTCAGAGATTACATTTGGGGAGGTTTTTTTTTTTAATTCCTTCCAGAAAAATACTCCTTTCAGTCTTTACTCAGGCTTATTGGTGATGGAGCAGAGCTGGATGGACCTTTATAGTGAGATAACTCCAAATTCATGTTTTGAAAATTAAGGGAGATAAAGTATGCAAATGTTAATCTCTATTTCAGTGGGTTGATGTCTCTGTGCACCCCTTTTGCTCTGAACAAACATT